AAGGTCCAGGGACTTGCCCATAAGGCGTATGTCGACCATAGTACTCCCCCCCACGGTCAGATCTTACTACTTTAATCTTTATATCATGCTGATTTTCAACTTCAGCTTTGAATATCTTAAATTTATCCAGTGCTTCTGATCGCTCTTTAATTGGATAAATATAACCATAGCGGGAGTAATCATCTGTGAATGTTATGAACGAGTCATAGCCATCCACACTTTTCACAGGAAATGGACCACAAATATCTGTATGAATGATCTCTAAAATTCCTGCGCTTCGTTTTGCACCCTTTTTGATGCTCTTTACAAATTTTCCTTTAATGCATTCTATGCATTCCAATGGAGGAAGAATTTCATTCTTAACTAGTCTCTCAATTCTCCCCCTCGAAATATGGCCCAAACGACAGTGCCATAATTTCGATGAGACATCGGGAGTTCGCTTTCTTTTCTTGTTTTCTTTTGTCAACGAGGACACAACATTCACATTCTCAGAAAGAGATAACAAATAAAGCTCGTCTCGCAACACAGCAAGACCAATACATGCATTATTATGCCATAGTTCACATTTGCCACTTCCAAAGCGGCAATCATATCCATCAAAATCCAACTTTGATACACTTATTAAGTTCCTTTGCAAAGAAGGAACATAAAAGACATCTCGAAGTAAAAGTATGAAGCCATTCGCGAGCTCTAGAGGAAGATCTCCAACAGCTTCAACTTTTTCTTCAACTCCATTGGCAACTCTAATGGTGCTTTCTCTTCTTTGCGTAGTCCTCGTCGAACGGAATGCCTTTAAACAATTACAAGCATGAATAGTTGCTCCAGAATCAATCCACCATGTGGATCTAGAGTAACCAACATAATGAGATTCATTTACAAATGTAATAATGTTCTCACCTTTCTTTGCCATGATCATTTTCAAAAAGTCAGGACAATCTTTCTTGTAGTGTCCTGTCTTCTTGCAGTGGAGACATTGATCTTTCTCAACAGCGAACTGTTGTTGCTGAGGCAGATGCTGAGACTGTTTACCTTTTGAGGTGGGAGACTTGTGGTTCTTTTTCTTATCTTTAACATAGTTTATTGAACCACCATTTGATTCTTTGATTCTCTCCTCCTCTTGCACACAATTAGCAATGAGCTTCTCAAAGTTCCATTTCTCTGGACTTATGTTGTAGTTGACAATAAAATTGTCAAACTGCTTTGGCAATGAGGCCATAACCAGATGGACCAGAAAGTCATCTGTTATGCCCAAATCCATTGGCTTCAACTTGGAAGCCATGTTGCTCATTCTAAGTATGTGGTCTCTAACACCACCTCCATTGTACCTTTCTGTCACAAGCTGCTTGATCAGCTGTGTAGCATAAGTCTTTGAAGAGCCAGTAAACTGACTCTTTATTCTTTCAAGGTACTCTGAGACAGCGTCACACTCTGGGATCGAGCCCAATATGGTAGGCTCAATCGTATTCTTTACCACAGCCAAACATTTCTTGTTGGCTAAGGACCATTTCTTTTGTTCAATGTCATACGACATGACGAGAGGAGCATTGTCCCTCTGTCTCTTTTGCCAGTCAGCATCTGACTCATTTTCACCTCTGACAAGGTCAGCAGGTTCTATAGGACATGGGGTAGTCAATACCCAGTCCACCTCTCCCAAGATAAAAGCAAGGTCGAGTTTTCTTTTCCATTCTGCGTAGTTATCTCCTTTTAGGGTCGGAATATCTTTAATGCAACCCATCAAGGAGTAGCCACCTGAAATAATCATGTGCGGTGAGAACAAAATTAACATTAAAATATTATGCATTAAGCCTACATCACCGTTGGGCAGAATTAGACATAACACATATAACCATAACTATAATATTGCAATTAACAACGTTGGTCAGAAAATTACAACATCATAGCACATAATTAATGTTCCTAAAATTAAATTCTCCCGTTGGTTCGAAATTTAATTTTAGAAACACTAATTTTCATCAATTTCATCTATTTGCAGCGGAAGACTATATAAAATCATATGAACAGTAGCAAAATCTCTGTAATTCTCTCTCTGTGAAAATTCTCCCGTTGGTTCAAATTTAAACAGAGGTAAAACATGCAAAAATCTATTCAAAATTCTATTGAAATTTGCATGAAAAATCGACAAAATAAAATGGAAAAATTGCTACTGTTCTCTTTTATTCATTTTCGGCCCCGAGGGACCTAAATTGAACTTTTCCGGCCTTTGCCGGTCGGCCTATGGCCACCTTGCGCGCGGGCGAGCGCCCCCTCCCCTCCCCCAGGCCGCAACCTGGGCCTGGGCCGGGAAAGCCGCCGCCGCGCGCTCCCCACTTGGGCCGATTTCGGTCCGGCCGCCGCCGGCCGTCCGATCAGCTAGGGTTTCCGATCGGACGGCCGGGCGCCGAGATCGGAGGATCAAAAACCCCCCTCTCCCGGCCGGCCGCCGAAAACCCTAGCTTCTCTTCTCTTCTCTCTCTCACGCGACCGCGTGGACGGCGTCGCCATCGCCGGCGACCTTCGCGCCGCCGCGCCATGGCCGGCGCTCCTTTCTTTTCTCTTCTCCGCTCCCCCCACCGTCTCTAACCCCCACCGTGTGAGAGAGAGATGGCGACGACGGAGATGGCGGCGCCGCCGCGGGCCCCCTCGCCGGCACGCGCGTGCAGGTGCGCGCGCGGCCGTCGAGTGGCTCCTAGGCGGCGCCTCTTTGCCCCTCCCCCCCTCCGTTGCCGGCGTCAACGACGGCCGGCGACGAGGTAAGAATTAGGGTTAGGGTTTTTGGTTCTTTTGATCCGTGCGGATCTTGTGCTTTTCTTTCTTTGGATTTCTTTCCCCGAAACGATCTAAACACTAGGGTTGCTCTGATACCATTGTTAAACTTTGCACTAGGATCACCTAGGTTAGATCTAGTCGGGTGGTTCTATTTGGGTTTGATGAACGACATTGTAGATGAAAGGGAGAGGGTTTAGATACCGACCGGTTGAGGAGATCGTGGAGGAAGAGGCGCCGGACATCGTCGTTGTCGTCGCGGCTTGACGTGGATGCGGCGGTGGCGTTTCCCGTCACTGGCTGCGCCCCCTCTCGATCGGATTAGGGTTTTGTGGGGTGGAGTTGGCGGCGGCGGTGAATCTCGTACCATGTGCCGTGCCGGCCTCCACCCCTCTTTTATATGGCGCAGTGTGACGGGGGCCCACCAGCCATTGGGCTGGGCGCCCCCGATCAGGGCGCGGTCAAGGCCCCCTTGAGCCGTTGGGCTCAAGGGGAGAGAGATCTATCTAACAATAAGTGCAGGTATATTAAAACCTGACACTTTTGTTATTATTGCCGAATTTTTAATAAATCAGCACATATAAAGTGTTATAGGTGCCCTTTTTAATTTCAATCCCGCTTAAGGTGTCAGTAGGATGTAAAAAGCCTCACATATATATGTGTGTGTGTGTGTGTGGATTTTAAATTAACTTGGCACGTATAAGGGGCATGCCTGATTCAGCTATCGATTGGATGCATGCATCACTAGAACACCTGGCATATTCATTTATTTCGTCACCGCCGCTTGCATTCTTCTATTTCTGCAGCTTAATTAATTATGCATTACGGCACACAACAATCACACACACACAGAGGTTAGCTACATATGGATTCTATAGATCGATTATTGCCCTTTTCTTGCGCTGATGCTGGAAAATTAAGAGACAAATAATTCTACTAGCTACGTACGTAGAAATCTGCGGCGACGAGTGACCACCTAATTATCGAGCCATCACCCTGGCGGCGGCGACACCAGCAAAGTAAACGGAGCAACCTCTCCAAAAGGAAGCCTCGTAGAGTAGCCAACGAAGCCTCCTCGCCGCGTCCTCCTGCGACGTCGACGATGGCCGCGGCCCTGCACCTGCTGCTTCCTCTATCGTCACTACCACGTCCGGATGTCGCCGCGCCGCCGCCGCCGCCGGCGTCACGTTCTTACCACCAGCTGCAGCGACGCCGGCGTGGTGGTAACCGCGAGCCGTAGCCGCCGTCTGATTCCTGGCACGCTGGGTGACCGCGTGTGCCGCTTGACGCGCCAACCGCTGCATCATCATCACGGATCCACTCATCTCTCGACCGATCAATCTCTCTCGCTCGCTGTATTGTAGTGCCGATCGATCAATCGATTCTATGTGTACGGGATAAACTAACCCAAAATATATATACAGGCGATCGATCGATTAAACTACTGGTTGTCCAATCCGAATCAGATTCTGAGACCGTCTCGATGATCTCGGTTGCTTAGCTGCTGCCCAGCAGCCCAGCTTGTCGCAGCGAATCAGACGGCGGCGCCGGCGGTTAGTTGCACGGTTGCAGTCGGCATTGGATCTCGCCACTCGCCATCGATCAACCCTGCCGTCCGCTACCTTTGCTTCCTCTCTTGGAACTAAAGATCATCGAGTTCCAGACACGAGATTCCACGTGCAACAACGAACTACAATACCTTAATTATATACTTCCTTTGTTTTATATTATACAATGTTTGAATTTTTTTTCAATCAAATTGTTTTAAATTCAAACAAATTTATAAAAATAAAGGCATGTAGTAACATTTCTATAGATGTCGGATTTAGTAAAATTAATTTGGCGTTATATTAGATGTTGCTACGCTTTCCTATAAAATCAATTAAATTTTAAAAGTTTAAAAAAATCAAAACATCTTATAATATAAAATGCAAGAAAACCATCATTACCATGAAATATACAAATATATATAACTATGAACATACATTAATTAGTATTGGTTTAATTTGTTTTGTTTACAAATTTGAACATGGAGGCTGTGAAGTGATATATTTTGTATTAATTATATTATCATTTTTTCTATATATATATAGGTGGTATAAAAAAACGAGGGAATGCATGTCCTCTCCAATTATGAAAATCCATCTCCCTATATTTATATACTAGAACTATTTGTAAAATAGCACTCCACTGTGAATAAATAAGGAAAACCTTCTTCCTAATCATCTCTTTAATTTCCCCGCAAAAAAAATCATCTCTTTAATTAAACTGATGACATATGGGTCCCACTTATAGTGACTGGATGATGTTACTTCCATCACAAAACGTACTTTCGACGACATATAATTGTCACTCTAATCAAACGCGATCTGCTTGCACTATATATATTAATTATAGTAGTAGCACTAACGCTAGCCAACGCCAAGCCACTCCATTCTAATTAGTATTGCAGCTGCACCAGCTGCGCCCTCAGGCGACACGCCGCCGTCATCGGTGCCAACGCCGCCGGCGAACCGGCGGCGGCATTGTCATCGTCATCCACGGCGGCGGACGCCTCGAGGAAGCGGCCGACCATCTCCTCGCACGGCTTCCACACCACCGCCTCCCACGTCTCCCTGTGCGGCGCCCCCTCCGCCATGCGCGCCACCACCACCGTCGCGTCCACGCGCCGCACGTCCCACCCGTCCAGCGCGCTCAGCCGCCGGATCTTCGCCACCTGCGTCGCGGCGAGGCGGTAGGTGTTGGCCTTGATCTCGCGCACGGCGCCGTCGAGCATGGCGGCGAGCTCGCCGTCGTCGGCCGCCTCGCCGCCCGAGCGCTCGGCCAGGAGGTACCCGTGCATCTCCGGGATCCCGATGGCGCGGCGCACGCCGCGGGTGTAGTAGTCCGCGGCGCCGGCGCCGTCGACGAACCCGGCGCGCGCCTCGCCCACCAGCCCGCGCCGCACCATGTCGTCCACGCGCGCCGCGGTGTACCACCGCAGCAGGCCCGGCGCGACGTCGGTCCACAGGAAGAGGCAGTCGTGCGCCGCGCGGAACGCGCCGCCGCCGCCCTCCACCAGCGCCTCGACGTAGGTGTTCGACCCGCCGGCCACGACGGGGAGGCGGCCCGCCGCGAGGACGCGGGCGACGGCGGCGGCCGCCTCGCGCCGGAAGTCCTCGGCGGTGAAGTCGGCGTCCGGGTGGAGGACGCCGAGGAGGTGGTGGGGGACGCCGGCGCGCTCCTCCTCGGTGACCTTGTTCGTGATGATGGGGAACCCGTCGTGCACCTGGATCTTGTCGGAGTTGATCACCTCGCCGCCGAACCGCTCGGCGATGGAGATGGCGAGCTTGGACTTGCCGGTGGCGGTGGCGCCGAGCACGAAGACGACCTTGGGCTTGGGTGACTGTCCGATGACACCGCCGACGTGGTACTCCATTGATGAAGGTGAGCTGCTCACCGGAGAAGAGGTATATAAGCCATCGTTAATTACTTTTTGCAAAGATAGTAAATTTACGACCTAAAATGTACGTGCACTCGATCATTCTTACTCCCCCGTCCCAAAATATAATATACGAGATTTTAGATGGATGTGATATAAGTTTGTTCAGATTAATAATATTAGGATAGCTAAGAGCTTGTGCTTTGTAACGGACAACAAATTGAGTTTCTAATTTATTAAATCAATTAACAAACACTTATTTAGTCCAAGTACTGAGAGCCAACGGTGAAACGGGGGAGGACTCGTTAAAAGATAATGTAATGGTATAGATTGTGGGGCTCACACGGTAGTAGTAGAGATGGTGTGGGAATGGACACCACCAGAACTACTAACATTTTAAGGACTATAGATTACATCTACCCAAAATCATTTACATTTTGAGATGGAAGGGGAACATATACTATATTTAAATGGTTATAATACATTTTCTAAATAAGGATTACCAGAAGACACTATACCATTCCAGAATGGAATACTTTATTTCTGGCATCACCATAACGCCAGCATGGCACAAATTTGGTACTTATATGATACTAGCATTAGACATGATAAACATAGGAACCATATCTAATATCGGGGTATCATACATGATACTCATAGGTAACAGTATTTGGTACCTAGATCCCATGCTGATGTCATGATGATGTTAGTAAAATAAACCACCGTTGTAACGATATAGCATTTTTTTTTATTTTTTTTGTTTTCAAAAACAGTAATGCTGATTGTAAATGATCAGTTTGATGCTAAATTACCTATATATCATGATAATTAATTGTCTCTAGTTAATTTGTTGTGAACGAGAATTTAACATAAAACTAGCAATGCAAGTTCATGGAACAATGTGGGTGCACTTCCAAATTATCATGCATGAAAAATACATCTCTGCACAATTTGTTAATCTTACAGTCGAAAACATTAAATATCATGAAAAGCATTGACAAGTAATTAATCCCCCATATAGATTATTCGCATTGAACTTCCTTATTTTACTTTTTTTAAGAGAAGTTCACGGTTCATGAATGAATAATAAACTCATCTGTGGTCAATTTTCCATCAACTTCATAAAACCAATCTATACCAAAGGAGAAAAGGATGACAGTACGTATAAATAAAAAGGATGATAACATCTGCTGTTGTATGCATATTCTAGCTAGCAAAATTAACAAAATCAATCATTAATATTACTACTTCTTGAGGGTAAACTTCAATAATTTCTTTATGTTCATCGTCGCTAGTTATTATTCAGTGAAACTTTAACTTTGTTTTATGTTCACCACCTTCTAACTTTGACATATAGCGCAAAACATTATCTCATATGTATCCGCAAACTATTCATTCCTATTGAACCTATGTCTGGTGTTCACATCATACAAGGGGTAAAGACAAAGCCTAGGGCAATTAGGACTCCCTAATCCCTTTTAGGTCCTATTGAAAAGTAATGAAAAGTCAAAGGTAAAAACAAGATGCATTAGTTCGGTCTTAAGTTTATATATGACATGGAAAAATTATAATAACATTGAGATCTATGTGAATGAAAAATATTAGCCCTTAAAAAAAGCCTCAACTTAGATATCTAATATATCTTACATAAAAATAAAATATCTATCGCTCAACATAAGGATTACAAAGAAAAAAAAATCTTTTTAGATCAAACAAAAACCACCCATATATATGGATCTATCACGGAGACGGGGTTTGAGCGCCCGCTACTAATATATGGATTATTAGAGACCCTTGAGCCTCCAAAATTTTCCGACATAGATACAGAAAGGCCAAAAATAAGTTGGAGCTTTGTCTAGTTTTTTTTAGCCCCTGCTTTTTTCCCCCCTAGATCCACCCCTACACCCACATATTTTTTTTGATAAAAGAAAAAGAAAAATGGATATTAACAAGAAAAAAGAAAAAGAAACTAGCATTGCGACACAAAACCTTGCAAGCAAAAAGCATCTATACTCATCTTATCAGTTCAAGCTGGATTACGAAAAATGGACGGTGATTAACCAAGAGGGTAACACCTACCGCGAGGAGATCGACCACAGAGCTAGCTGCTAGCCGGCCGCCGGAACGGAATCGATAGCTGCCGGAGTTTATCAAGTACCAACTTGGTCGCCGGAATCGGTGGCCGGAGTTGTACAGGGGTGAGGTTTATTCCGACGAGGTAACTGTATATAGCCTCTCTTGTGTATTTATACAGTCCCTGCAGGACCTATCTGGCTGATGCAGATATGCACAGTAGTATACCGTGTCTTAATGCCTTCCATAATCAGATAATCAGAAGAAAACATGTATCTGCATATGTCGACCTGTATGACAGAATTAATTGGTATCGAATTTTGAGCCAGCCAAGAAAAGCATGGATAACAATGCAATAAATAGAATCTTGGTCGAACAGTCACACGAAAATAGTACGGGCATTGTACAGTGCTATCTCTTGGCTGCAGTGTATATCCGTCAGTAAGAGTGTTGTAATTATGTACTGTATTAATTAGTACTAGCTATTTGTGAGAATATGTGAGATTATGGTAACCGACGATTGACTTTCCTGTTATTCTTGTATATATCCAGATATACACATCCACCAATTTTCTAGCCGTTAATGTTATTCCTATCCTAGCTATCACCCGTTTCGAGAAATCTGAAATGGTATTTTTCTTTAATAACCTTAATTATCACTCCCCGGTTGCATATATACACACTTTGAAGTTTTTCTCTCCCTTTTTTTTTTAGTTTTGGAAACAATTGATAAATCGAGAAGGGGTTAAAAAAGTACTACATTCATCCATATATCTTTTTAGTTATGAACTTGAATAGGTCGGCTGAGAGAACTCATATCTAGTTTCATATCTAAATATATATATATATATATATATATATATATATATATATATAAGGATGGATAGTGAAGTTTATTGCTCTCACCTTAGAATCTAGTAGCAAACATTGCAAATAGTTACTAGATAAATACAACGAAAACATGCACAACACGTTCATACATCATACTCATTCACACACCACTTGACCTCCACAGCACATTTTTTAGTTTTGGAAACAATTGACAAATCAAGAAAGGGTTAAAAAGGTACTACATTCATCCATATATCTTTTTAGTTATGAACTTGGATAGGTTGGCTGGGAGAATTCATGTCTAGATTCATATCTAAAAATATACTTTTTTTAAGGATAGATGTAGTAAACAATTTTACAGTGAAGTTTATTGCTCTCACATTAGAAGCTAGTATCAAACATTGCAAATAGTTGCTAGCTAGATAAATACAACGAAAACATGCACAACATGTTCACACATCACACTCACTCACACACCGCTTGACCTCCGCAGCACGGGAAATGTGCTACCCTGTGTACCCTAGCTAGCCATCTGTCCTATTTACCAATTTCATCCCACAAAATCTAGATTGTTTGAGCTACGGTTAATAAGAAATAAAACAAATAAATAAAATAATCAAAATAGATTGAATATACTTTTATACTTCTATTTATATTACTAGCACGTAGTCCAAAAAACAAGGTTGAAAAATAGAGAACAATTTAAAGCCCTAAAATCAACTCTAAAATTAAATTGTAAAAATTCAAATTTTGATTGTGGCTTGTAAACCAGCGAGAAAATTTATCATGAGGCGGTAGTAAGTCCAATGGTAATATGTTACTAGCCTAGTTGTTAGCACAATCCAATAATCGTGCACTATGAATTGATATATGCTCAACTGGTTAGATTTTTTATGATGAAACCTATCTACTCAGGTTTAAATCTCTGATGTAGTATATGTGCCCACATTTTACGATATTTTTGTTGTTTCTAGGTAACTGATTTACAAATCAACAGCGAGGCATCTACGGTAATTTCGTCAATGTCACAATGTGGTATCTTTCGAGTATGTGATGTTTATAGGGCCAGGTAGGAGTGTGTTTGGGTGTTCATATCGATGAGTATAATAATATCAATGTAGGTAACGTGTTTTGAAAAGAAATTCAATCGTACAACTCTGGATATCTTTTTAAGATACTTAGTACTCCACTTAATTGAATACCAAGTAGAAGTGAAAGCTCAATTAGTTATGCAGGCTCCCTTATCCTAAAACTTGCATACTTAGATGGAACTCGTTTACTTGACATGCATGGATATGGATACTTGTATTTTCGTAGAGTACTTGGGTGTAAAGACGTTGACGGCCAATCTCTTCATAGACGTACGTATGCTGGTGCCAGGACGCATCTGCATGGATGTATATACGCGTGAATACGGTGTGCGCATCAGTGGCGGATCCAGGGCCCCGACACGATTTTTTTATTTTTTATTTTTAATTTTAAAAATAAACCCATCCAAATTTTATTTTCAAGATATGAATCTTTTGTCCACGCGAGAACAATACTGTTACGCCGCTCCGCTGGCGTGACAGCGTTATTTGGCCACATCAACGTTGCCCGCGTGACAGCATTATTTGGCCACGGCGCTCTCGCTGGCGTGGCAAGATAAAACTGTCACGCCCGCTGCAAGTGACATGCTATTATTGTTTTGTCACGTCAGACGGGCTGGCGAGGCTAAGAGGTTCAGATTTTATAAATAAATTTTGAAATGATTTAGTTTTAAAATTAAAAATTAAAAAGTTCAAAAAAATTAAAAAAAAAATCCCCCGACACCAGCATTGGATTAGATGCTTAAATAACAGTGCTTAGTCATTAGCCCGGCTACACATGTACTATTAGATTAGCACTAATTGTCATGTTTAGTCATTAGCCAGCAGCTTAACTTTGCTTCCGTATATGATAAAATGCTCTATGTAGTTTTAAGAATTTGTGTCTACTTGTTAATTTGTTATTATCGTCGTTCGGTTTGTCCAGTTCAAGAAAACGTCTAATTAATCCGGTCAACTGCTGTGCATGGGTTGTGTCCGACTTAGTAAAAGAAGACTATATTTATAGTATCATATTATTTTATAAAAAATAGTCTATTTTTTTACTCTACAATTACAACAAATTTTAAAAATTACACCGTAATCACAGCTGTACTGTAATTTTTTTCTGGTACAGATAACACTATATATAAGAAATTAGGATAAAAACAATTGATTGTTTTACTTCAAAGTTTGGAAGGGACAGATAGGAGACATATAAGCATTAGAAAAGGTGACTGCAATCAAGTAAAATATATATACATCAACAACAGTAAAACTGTAAAATAAAAAATAAGAAAACCACGATACTCCCTCCGTCTCGAAATATAAGGGATTTTGGATAGATACGACACATTCTATGTCCAGATTTATGGTATTAGGATGCATCACATCCATTCAAAATCCATAATATTTTGAGATGGATGGAGTAGATTTCAATACATCAACTAACAAACATCGGCCAGCCTGACACATTATTCGTACCAGAAATTAAGCCTCTAGCTAGACCTGATCTTGGTACACCACGGGAAGCCCACAGATGCAGCGCTTGCTTGCTTTCAACCGATGCGCTTAGCCGGCGTAGCCGTAGACCACGCAAGGCCGGCCGGCTGGCCTATCGATCCATTCCAGTTGCAGAGACGTTAATTGCAATGCAATCTCTGCCGTTTTTAGTACTGCCGCCTTTCCCCCCTATCCACTATCCATTATCCAATCCATCTGATGAACTTCCTTGGTGAGGTGAGGCGCCCAATCTTCTTCCTCAATCTGTAATTTTTTAATCTTCTTCCTCAATCTGTAATTTTTTTTTTGAAAGATTAACGGCAGGAGCTCTGGCGGATATATTAGGGTAAAAAGAGTCAGACAAAACGAAAAACATTAAGGTTCAAAGAAAAGAGGGGACATCCAGAAAGGAAAATAAACTCATAAAGCCTATTACAGAGGAGAAGAGAAACGACTCAGCTGAGACCTAGCCTTTAGGCTTATCTCGAAAGCTCAATTAAATCAATATTTTCTTTGATCGTGCAAGCTACTTGTGATTCGCTTTAGCATTTATGATGGAAGATTCGACGATTGCGCTCGAGCCAGACCTGCCACCATGTTGTGAGTAGAGCGCCAATCTTCTTCTTTGCTGAATCTCCTTTTGCAAGAAAAATCTAGGAATCCCACCAATTCGAAATGGGTGTGTCTTGCCAAGATTGTGGGGGAGAGATTGTAACCAAGCCAGCTGCATACTAAATTCCACACATTTCTTATGAAGCTGCATTCTTTGGCCAAGTGATTTGCATCTTCGAAAGTGTTTGTACACAGACTTCATATCCAGTTACATTGCCAGTGACGTCTCAGCAAATTTTCCGCCGTTAGGGTTCTCTAATGCAAAATGAGCCAGCCGAAAAAACGATGTTTTGGTTCCGCCTGGGCCTTCCATAGGGGAGAGAAGTTTATGTTAGTGATCATACATTAGAATTGTGCTTCATAAGCGCTCTTTGCTGAGTATTCTCCATTGGGAGTCGATTTCCAACGAATGTCATCGGGGGTGTTTTTAAGGAGCATGACTTCTTACAATCGGCTACCCAGCCGGACCAGTTCATCAATTTCACTTATCGTGGTAATGGGGTTTAGGATCGCCAGCCAGTGGTTGTTTTGAAGGCTGAGGTGCACATTGTTTCATTTTCTCCTGGACAGGTTGAAGATCCCTAGAGCTAAATCTTTAGGTAAGCAACCCTGAAGCCAGTTATCAGAACAAAAGGAGCATTTCTTTCCATTTCCCAGGGTAATGACTGTTCCAGCTCAAAAAAGCACTCTGTCCAATTCATCACATGGCACTTCAATGTTATGCCAAGGTCTATTATCTTCCTTCCAGCCAAACCAGAGCCAGTGCAGCCTTAAAGCTCGCGAGAATTTTTCCAAATTGAGAATACCGAGGCCCCCCAAATTCCTAGGTTTGCAAATGTTCTGCCAATTAATGAGACTACTACCCAAACTGACATTATCTGGATCATCTCCCTTCCATAGAAAAGCACGCCGAAATCAATCAATCCTTTTATATAGCCACTTATTCTTATTCCTCAATCTGTAATCTTTCCACTCTTTTGTTCTTTCTTTCTTCCTGTTTCGTGTTGTTCATGGATCATCTCTACGACTCTACACTCATAGTATTACGTTTGGGGATGATGGCTCTGGTTGATTGGTAGTAATTGGTAGTATTCTCTAGTTTCAAGCTGTAGAATTTCCGTGTGAGATTATTGGTCGGTGAACATTTTGCACAACCCTGCAGTTTC